ACAAGAACATTTGCTCAACTCAACTGTTCCAAGATTTTCATTCTCTTAGAAAAAAGCATACCACGCAAGAACATCAAAGCATCGAAGTAAAAATGCAACAAGACCCACAAAGCCCATCTTGAACTTCAGCTTCTTTGTATGGTTTCCTTGTCCTCGTCGTCCTCAGCTTTGAAATCGGAATTTAAAAGGCCTGGAGAAGAAAACCTTGTGAAGAAGCAAGACTTGTCCGTACAGCGTGAAACTTTTGTTCAGAGTTTTTTATTTTTTTGGCCTGAACTTTTGTTCAGAGTTTAGTTTATGATAAAGGCAAAGTTTTCACTACCACTGGAAAGTCGGTCGTCTAACCAAAGGAAAAAGGGAGTTTCACTAATACACCCAAAATAAAGGTTGAAATTATAAAAAAATCCAACATGAAAAACACTTTATAAACACACTCAAAACCCATTTATTAAACACACTCAAAAACCCATTTATAAACACATCCAAAAAATATACAATTGTTGATTTTTGGGTTGATTTTGGATGTGTTTCTATGTTTTAAATAGCGTTGGCTTTTTTTTATTTTTATAAATTCATGTCTTTGATTGGGTTTATTTATAAATTTGTAAAAGAAAAAACGCCAGCAGTCGTGTTTGCAAAATGAGTAAACAAGAAGAAGATTTAATTACTGTTTTATCCTTGAAACGGGCCGCTCGATCTCACATTACTCCTTGAAACTGAAATTTTCTCATTTAATCCTCAAAATCTCTAAAAATGCTAAAATTTTCTAGCTTTATTACTTTTGTCAATTTCCATCAACAAAACTAGGGGTGGATGCGGTCTAGTTTGGTCTGATTTTCACATCAAATCGAAATCAGATACGGTACTATTTAATCGGTCTGGTTTTAGTATTAAAAAAAAATTGAAACTGACTAGTTTGGTTTGAACCGGTTCTAGTCTGATTTCCAATTTTTTTTATAGTTTTGGACCGAATTATTATTATTTTTATGCAAATTTCAACTAAAATTTTAATTTTTGGGCTTGAAAATTTACAAATGATCCAATTTCATACAAAGAGAGATATTGAGTGTAGAAAAGGGAGATTTTTTGAAGTTGGGCTTGGGGAAATATTAGTTATGAGATTAAAAAATGTAACATTGGATTTAAATAATTTTGTAAAAAAATAAAAAATATACACAACCGGTCTAGCCCAGTCCGATATGGTAAGGTGTGAAATTAGAACTAGAACCGGTTTGAATTAGTCTGGTCCGGTTTGGTGTCGATTTGTTGACTTTTTTAGTCAATCAGTGTTTTCCCCCCTTTTTTTAATTCGATTTGGCTCGATGTTTCGATTTTCCGACCTTGATGCCCACCCATCGTTGACTGTGCTGACGTGGCATGTGTATTTTAGTAATTTTAGCTATTAAAAAAACATAAGATGTGTTGTGTTTACTAATAAAAACATAAGTGAACATAAGCTTAAAAATGCCGACGGGGCTCTAATACAATGGAAAATGATCTTGACTTGTAGAACAGCGGTCTCAAGTTCGAAACCCTTTGGCATCTTGGTATTGTGTATGTGAGCAATGGCTGACTCATGAATTTTTATTAGGGTAGGTTAATTTTTTTATTTATTTATTTATTTATTTTTATACAAGAAATATATTATACATCTTTTTTCTCTTGAAACAAAAATGTAAATAAAATTTTATAAATCAAATAAGGCCACATTACAAGCAAATATAATACGAAGAAGTATAAAATATAAATAAATACCAAATCAAACACATGGTCCAACTTCAAAAAAATATGGTCAATTGCAAAAAAATTTTAAAGAGCTTACCTAGTGAAGTGGAACCCTTCTCTCTTTGAATGTATCAAAATCTTTGATTATTGAATCTGAATTAATATTCACATAAAGCTCTTCTCAATGTAGACAATGAGGGAATCTGCGAGATACTCATCCTCCATTTGCACTGGGCTGGAGTGTAGATCCGCCTTTGTGTGTGAGAAACCCCATTCCCTGTAGTTTTGTTAAACTCTTTGTCTTAAATTTCGATATTATCGCTGATATTTCGGCGATAATATTGTTTTTTTTGGGTCCCAATATTTTGGCAACATTCCATTTATATTTCGTCAATTTATCGATAATATCCTCGATAATATCGCCGAAATATCGGGACCGATATTTTCGTTCAAATTCAATATGAAATGGTCAATATATCGCGATATTATCGATAATATTGATAATATTGCGATATGAAACCGAAAAAGATAGAAAAATGTTGAAAAGCCTCACCTTGCGCGCAGAGGGATTCGAACCCCCTCCCTTTCTCATCAAAGCTAGCTTCTTCTCCAACTCAGCTGCGGCTGGTATATACCATCAACTTGTAATATTTATAAGGTCTTTAAAAATTGTCTGCAAGCTAATATTATCTAAGATAAATTTCCATATTAAAAAAATTCCCTAAGAATAAATTTAAGCATATATTTAATGTTATTTATTATTTTATAATGGAGTAATATTTTGTTGTTGTTGTTATATATTATGGAGTTTTATTATTATTCACTTTGAGTTTTAATATTGTTCATTATATGTGATACTAAGTTTGAATTTTAATAGGAATTCTTTCTATGTGGTACTAAGTTACTCATACATTTTATCTTTGTTTTTTTGGTTAAGCTCATATATTTTATCATATGTATCAAGTGTAATATATTGAAGTACATTATTATAACTAAAAAATTATGGTGTGTTTAATTTTCTTTCATTATTTTCTAAAGTCACAGTGTTTGTCAGGTCGCTACATAATCAACTTAAATCACTCAAACCCACCATGCCATGCATTTCCTTCCAATTTTTTGTGATAAAATAATAGACAATTGACTAAGTAATCATCCTCTAAAGTTTCAATAAAAATTTCCAAGTTTTTCTCATAATTTCCGTGATTTTTATTCAATTTTTATCGATATCGATATTTCCATCAATATTTCCGTGTTTTTGGACCACTGATATTTCCGAAACTCCCGATATTTTAGACCTTGGTTAAACTATTGTTTGTACTCCCACATAAGCTTAAAAACAATAACTTCGTAATGGAAGAATCTACCAAGCAACTTTAGTGTAGTTAAACTCCCAATGCCAACTTGTGAAAAGGGATAAGTGTGTTTCCCATTGTCAATTTTGAAGCGTTTGTCACTTGACACGTACGACTATTGTGCTTAGTGCAGGCTCTCGACCCTCAAGGTCTTTTTTCTCCCAGGGTGTCGATGTCGGCCAATAGTCATACGATTGTCTTAAAAATTAAGCCATGCATTTGTAAATATGAATGGAAGAATAATTGTTGCAATTTTCAGTGTATTATTCTCCTTGTAAGAGACACATATAATACATCAACACCTTGGAGGCTAAGTAACCTTGGAAGCTAAGTTAAACTATAACCCTAACTCTATTTACAGTAGGAAATCAGAAATAGAAAAGGAAATAAATTATAATCAATACGAGAATCTTGGTGTGCAAGTCAAGTCATGCCAACAGTTCAGAATGTGAAATGTGAAAACTTATTAAATTAGATATAGTTTGCTTGATAGTATCTACTATTTAGATAACAACAATGATTCTAGCGTTAACACATGCAACACAGCCTGACTTTTGGAAGGGTTTATTGGATAAAAAGTCAACGCAGAATCTGCTCGTTGCTATGTTGATTCATGATAACTCAACAAATTGCACATTCATTATGTTGGTGATGCATCATTCAAATATATGTCCCATTAGCTTCCAATGGTAGGTAGGATAGTGGTCTATTGCTGTGGTCACGAGTGACAGGGAATTATAGATTGATTTCGAAGTAGGAGCTTAAGAATCAGCTACCATGTCCATGGAAGACCATGCATGCAAATTACCCATGGGAGGTAAAACAATAACAATAATACTGAGCTCTATGATTCTGGTAATTGGAATAAGTACAATATAAATCTCTTAACAAGAAAAAGTATGGAGCTAGTAGGCGCGGTAATTTCAGCTCCAAACTCCAATAGTGTATGTTTAAGTTGTGGCAATTAAAAAAAAAATAGTAGCCGGATCTTGAATTGGGTCGACCGGTTGACCACTGGTGCCATGTTTACAAACATTTCCCTTTCTAGAAACCTGTCTGAACATTACAATAAATCAATGCCAAGGTTTTTTTCCCTTCTATATTTGCACGTATTCCACATTTGGTGCTTATTTTTATTTATTTATATTTCAACTACTCTGGGAGTCCTTTAGCGAGGTGAAGTTTGAGCAATCAATCAAAAGTTGAAGCTTGAGCTCAATTAATATTTTCAGTCAAATAACAACTTCATTGATGATAAAAAAAAATGTCACAATAGAAAGTTGAAATAGAGGCCTAATAAGGATTTGATTCTATACTTTTTTTCCACAATCCAACATCATTGTGTAAAGAATTTCAACAAAATGTTTATGATGAAGTACTTTAACAAGTCAGAAGCGATCGTGTTTGTGTCACTGTCAACACTATTCTTCAAAATTCACAACTTGTGGCCACACGTTCACAACTAGTTTATTTGAATTTTCACTGGCTTGACAAGACAGTAGTAAAATCCAGCTACCAATGCATATAGGGCCATCTCCTAAGTTTCCTACAAAGGTGAAAACAATTAGAAAATACACGAGCATGAATGTTTTTTTTTCTTCTTCTTCCTACGCTCTTTATGAGTAATGCGAGGAACCAACATTATCTGTCCACAACCCCTACATTCCAGTCGATTCAAGATCCAAGTGCTTCCTTCCATTACGATGAGATACCATGTCACCCTCAGTATAGCAGCCTACATTACAAATCTTGCACCACAGAGGGGGACCATTCATTCTTGGAACACTATTTGCCTTCTGTTGTTGTTCTAGCACATTTTTCTCATGCTTCCTTCCACTGATATGAGATGCCAAGTCAATCTCACCAGGGCAGTATACATTACAAATTTTGCACCACATACGATAATCCTTCTTGCTTGGAACCTCATTCCGATTTCGTTGTTGGCCTCCGTTTGATGGATGCACCTTCTGCTGGCTCCTTTTTAGATTTATCAGAAGTCTTTGTCCTTGAAGTTGGAGTGCTATTTTTCTGGCTTTGCACCTTTTCATCTACAATAACTTTTTGTTTTGATGCACTGCTCGTTGTCCTCTTTCCTCGCTCCTTGTTAGGTTGATTAGATTCCTTTGCAGTAGAAGCCGGGGCAATTTTTGGCGCAATTGGCTGGCTCTTTGCTTTCAGTGCCACACATGCTGCCTTGTGTTTTCTGCCTTGGAGGTGGGAGTTCAAAGTTGCTTCACTTTGAGTCGTTAGCTGACAGAGAGCACAAGTCCACTCTTTCTGGACTTGTAGGGCAGACTCAATAACTTCTCTACTTGTAACAACCTCAACAACTTTTTCTTGAGTCTCCATGGTTGCAAATGTACCGTTTTCCATCTGAGTGAGCTTAGCTTCAGCTTTGTTCTCTATTTTCAGTTTCTCATATACAGCCTCGTGTATTTTACCGTCCGGGTAGGAGTTAAAAGATGTATCACTTCGGGTCGTTACCTGACTGACTGCACTTGTCCACTCCTGAACCTTCTCTGAAGGTGGAATGTTCAAAATTCCTCTCTCTGATGCAATCGCAACGGCCTTTTCTTTAATATCCATACTGGGAAATCTGCTGTTTTCAGTTCCAGTGAGATTAGGCTCTGCCTGACTAACCTGCAAATGCATATGAAATTCTGTTGCAAAAACGGAAATGAGCATGTACAAAATGTTTAAAAGAAAGAAAAAAAGTAAAGTAAAACCTCCCAATTTGTTTTGACAAACACAACGAGTTTTAAAAAGTCAACGAAAGCATTTTGAGAAAATGTTTGCATATATTTTCTGAGGAACGTTAGGCTTTTTTTATATTCAGAATCATCTGCACTGATTTGATATCCTTCCATGCAACATTAGGCTTTCTGGATTAATTTGGACTCTGAAGAAGACCAAGGGAGTTAAAGGTTAGCTCATCAAATTAATATAAATCAGGCTCTAACTTATATTGCAAATGCAAACTTAATTTCACAATATTTTCTCTTTAAATCAAGCATAATTCAAAATCAAAATGAAATTCTCAGTCAAAAGAAGTAATCAGAGAAAGCCAAAATTCAGGGGTTATTGCAACGATCACAGTTCTTGGATTTCATCTAACAAAAGACATCAACTACAAATTACTGGAGTGGGTAGAAAAGTGTTATGAAAATTGCAGGTGTTGCATCAGGGATCTCACACAGTGTACCTCTTTATTCTCCAGAGATGAAACTGCTTTGAACTCTTTCGCATTGGGATTTGACTTTGTTCTCTCAGACTGAAGCAAAAAAGTATTATTAGTCCATCTCTGACAACGATTCCATAGAATGTGTTTTTCCACAATTAAAAGCATTTATACAACTGTAGGCATAACAAGATATTTTCTTCACCAAATTCAACATACTTTGGAAGCAACAACATTTTCTAGAGCCTCAGGTCCTTTCTCCTGTGCATATCTCTCCACCTCGGTAAAAACATTGTCGCTGTTAAACGAGGATTTCTTCCGCTTGTTGAACCAGTTGACAACAATTTGGAGGTCCGTGGAGAGGCATGGACAGATAAGGTGTTTATAGACATAAAATGCACCACCGAAATGAGGTATCACCAACCAGAAGACAATGATTAGCCTAAAGTATGGCCACAGTGGGAGCCTGACAGGTACAGAAATGGAAAAACAGGGAACATAAATAGATGAAACAAATTTTATAGCTCCTCATGATCATTAAACAATGAAAAGTTGAAACAAATGTCAGCACTATGCCCGAAAGGACCTAAGTGATATCTAACTCGGGAACTCAATTGATTTAATTTTCATTTAAAAAGAAAAAAAAACTAAAAGTTTCTGTGTAAAAATTCCGTGGAACTATGTACGTAGATGTGGTATGTGGCATTTTCTGGAACAAGAAGTCTGAAGCTGAACGAATAAATTACATCCATTTCATATGTTTAAATTGAATTCGAAGAAAGCAACGAGAACAATTTCAAATAACCTATGATTTAGGCCTGTTTTCATATCTGTTAGCTTTTAAAATGTGTTTTTACGACCAAATGTGACTCCATATAATTGTGAATGTATTACCAGAAAGCTACTACATATATGAAAACATGAACAACATATCACAACCGTCTTAAAAAAGAAACTTCAAAATTCTTTATGAGACTCGGTTTTGTCTCAATAAACCACAATGAATTGATATGCCACACAAATTCACATCTGAAAATTCCATAGCTACTGAGAACAACAGCCACATTGTGAAAATTTCTGCTCTCCTTGTGATTCTAGTGAAGGCTAGAAAATCTTTGAGATTCCTTGTTCAATTTTATTTCGACATCTCCGTTTCAAACTCATTCCAGAAAGGCTTTACTAATAACTTGGCTGAAAGTTCTGTTAAAGCTTCTGTTGCCTAAAATATGCAAGGTTTCAACTTTTGTATTCTTTTGTATTCATTTATTTGGAAACCAGAAAAAGCAAATGCAATAAAATAAACAACAGAATTACCATTTTAGGAGCTTCATAAGTGCATGTTCAAATAGCAGAATCAATGAGAAGACAACCCAATAAGTATTCAACTTCTGAGAATCTGAAACAGAATTGGACTCAATCGCCCTAATGGAACAACATCTGTCAAAAAAATAAATAAATAAATAAACATCAAGGAAACCATCATCATTGTATCAACATCAATAAATAAAATAAAATAATTATCAAAATCATCATCATGATAAATTGCAATATTGAAAAATTACTCTCATCTGGTAAAGAAAAAGAAAAATACCCAGATTCAAAATTATGCACAAGAGCAAAGTGAAAGATGCTAAAGTGGACTCTACAAGGATGAAAACAGAGTTTCTTCAAAAAAAATAAAAATGTGTCTGGGGGAAGAGAGGCTTACAGAGGATACACCAGAGAAAGTAGAGGCCTGTAAAACAAAAACAAAAAATCACAATCAACATGAAATGATGAAAAATTATATTGTATTCTGAGAAACATTTCCTCAAATCAATTGTGCCAAGATTTTCATTCTCTTAGAGAGAAGCATACCATGCAAGAACATCAAAGCATTGAAGGGAAAATTGAACGAGACCCACAAAGCCCATCTTGAGCTTGAGCTTCTTTGTATGGTTTCCTTGTCGTCGTCCTCAGCTTTGAAATTGGAATTTGGAAGACTTGGAGAAGACCTTGTGAAGAAGCAAGATTTGTCCGTACAGCGGACTCAAGTTTGCGATCAAACCTTAAAAGGTAAAGTTTCACTACAACTGGAAAGATATTCGCAAATTGAGTCCAAAAAAAATATCGAAACAAACAGTGTTTACTAAAAATACATAAGTGAACATAGGCTTGTTTAGAAACAAACTTTAGAAATGGAAGAATCTACCGAGCAACATCATCAATGTAGCCTCAACGCGAACTTCTCGAAAGGGATAGGTGTCTCCCAATGTCCATTGTTTTTTTGTTTCAAAAAAGTTTTAAGGGAGGGAGAGGCTAACCGCAGTGTCTATTTAAAGTGTTTGTCACTTGATATGTTAGACTATTGTGCCTGTTGCAGTCACTCAACTCTCAAGGTTATTTTTCTCGCATAGTGTCGATGCCATATGTTTGTCCCAAATATTAAGTTATCCATTTATTAAATCGGTTATAGTTTCTTTGATAGTATATGCTACTCGAATAATTGTAGTGATTCTAGAGTTAATGCATACAACAAATCTTGACTTTTGGAAAGAGATATACATTTATTGGATGAAAGGTTGACGCATACTATGTCCGTTGTTATGATTCTTCATGATAATTGGATAGATCGCACATTTATAATAATTTAAAAGTGTTGATTTATTGTCCTTAAATTATATATTTTGCGAGTATGATCTTCATTTTATATACTGGCCTAGTTGAAATTCTTGTATTTCATTTTATTTGAACAAGTGAGTAAATTTGTCTTGGTTTAAGCTTCAACTGAGGCTGCTTTTGGCTAGGCACCGAATAAAAGAACATATAGGGGGAGAGCCAAATGAAGAGATGCATGAGGGAAACAAAGAGAGAAAAAGGAAATGACAGACAAAAAGAATGAAAGCAACACGTGAAAGACAGAGCATGGTGGAAAACAACTTTCTTTATGTGATTCATTAGCCACATTACCATATTGAGGCAAGGTTTGTTCAAATGAACTTTGTAGTTTTTCTATTTATTTAATTGATGAATGTTTGATAATCTATTTCATGGGGTTCAATCATCATGTTTTTCTGGTAACCACTCTTATAACACCAATAGAAGGTCAAACATGATATATATTTTAGCCTTAGTATCAGCATTGCAGGATAGTAAATGCAGCGTACGCTTTATTTCAGTCCAATTTCCAGGGATTTTTTGAGTTCCTATTTGAATGTCATAGTGGAATAATTTTGTGATAGGGGGAGATAATTTGGATTTTCGCCCTTCAACCTTAGAAAACTCATGTCCAGTTATGTGTTGGACATGTAAATTATCATCAAAATTTATTCTGCAAAACCAGAATTTGGTATGTCTATCTAAATTTATTCTGCTTTTCTCTTGATGCAGAGGGGATGGCAAAGGATCATATCTGAGCTTTGTTTTATTCTGCATTTAGTTGTGTCATCTCAGCCAAAGTGAAGTACGCAGGGAGTTATGAAGGCTCTGCCAACCACAAGCACTTAACATGAAAGAGGAAAAGCTTGTAGGGTTGTAGAAAACAGGGACGACTCATTGTGGAGATCGAAGGACAAAGCTGTGCCAAATGACTTTAAGAGAATGATTTTGTTTGAATTTTGACCACGACAAATGGTTTTGGTATATTGCATTATGACCAGATTGAGGCTAGTACTAACTAAACCATTGCCAAGCAAGGCATAAAGTTTTCAGAAAAGCAGAGGCATGATGCAGAAAAAATAACACCCACTCGGCTCTTTGAGAAGTCCAAATACAGCCGTACAACATTGGCAAAATAAAATAAAATAAAAAAAGGGGTAGAGAATAAAAGGAACTTTAATTTATTTTTTACAACAAGAAGGCCTAGAAGGCCAAACAAAGCATCCAACACAAAGCTGTAATAACATCTAAATATGAGAACTTTACTGCAATCAAAGGGTTTAGGGTTGTGGGCTGAGGCCATGCATACTGGGCTTACCTTGTTGGTCCATGCTTCCATGCCTCTTGCCCATTGGGCTGAGGCCATGCATACTGCTGTGTAAGTAATTAACCGTCTTCCTTCTAAAGCTTTGAGTCTTCAATCTCCATATAAATTTTTTTTTCAAAACGAACCTAACTTTGCTTTGTTCTTTTTCATAACGAGTCTCCCTGGTCGCAAATGTACCGGTTTCCATCTGAGAGAGCTTAGCTTCAGCCTTGTTCTCTATTTTCGGTTTCTCATATACAGCATCGTGTACTTTACCGTCCGGGTAGGAGTTAAAAGATGTATCACTTTGGGTCGTTACCTGACTGACTGCACTTGTCCACTCCTGAACCTTCTCTAAAGGTGGAATGTTCAGAACTTCTATCTCTGATGCAATCCCAATGGCCTTTTCTTTAATATCCGTACTGGGAAATCTGCTGTTTTCAGTTCCAGTGAGATTAGGCTCTGCCTGACTAACCTGCAAATGCATACGAAATTCTGTTGCGAAAACGGAAATGATCATGTACAAAATGTTAAAAAGTAAAGTAAAACCTCCCAATTTGTTTTGACAAACACAACGAGTTTTAAATCATGTTGCAAATGCAAACTTAATTTCATAATATTTTCTCTTTAAATCAAGCATAATTCAAAATCAAAATGAAATTCTCAGTCATAAGAAGTAATCAGAGAAAGCCAAAATTACGGGAGTGTATAGAAAAGTGTTATGAAAATTGTAGGTGTTGCATCAGGGATCTCACACAGTGTACCTCTTTACTCTCCAGAGATGAAACTGCTTTGAACTCTTTCGCATTGGGATTTGACTTTGTTCTCTCAGACTGAAGCAAAAAAGTATTATTAGTCCATCTCTGACAACGATTCCATAGAATGTGTTTTTCCACAGTTAAAGCATTTATACAAGTGCACACACCTGTAGGGTTAACAAGATATTTTCTTCACCAAATTCAACATACTTACTTTGGAAGCAACAACTTTTTCTAGAGCCTCAGGTCCTTTCTCCTGTGCATATCTCTCCACCTCGGTAAAAACATTGTCGCTGTTAAACGAGGATTTCTTCCGCTTGTTGAACCAGTTGACAACAATTTGGAGGTGCGTGGAGAGGCATGGACAGATAAGGTGTTTATAGACATTAATGCACCACCGAAATGAGGTATCACCAACCAGAAGACAATGATTAGCCTAAAGTATGGCCACAGTGGGAGCCTGACAGGTACAGAAATGGAAAAACAGGGAACATAAATAGATGAAACAAATTTTATAGCTCCTCATGATCATTAAACAATGAAAAGTTGAAACAAATGTCAGCACCATGCCCGAAAGGACCTAAGTGATATCTAACTCGGGAACTCGATAGATTTAATTTTCATTTAAAAAGAAAAAAAAACTAAAAGTTTCTGTGTAAAAATTCCGTGGAACTATGTACATAGATGTGGTATGTGGCTTTTTCTGGAACAAGAAGTCTGAAGCTGAACGAATAAATTACATCCATTTCATATGTTTAAATTGAATTCGAAAAAAGCAACGAGAACAATTTCAAATAACCTATGATTTAGGCCTGTTTTCATATCTGTTAGTTTTTAAAATGTGTTTTTATGACCAAATGTGACTCCATATAATTGTGAATGTATTACCAGAAAGCTACTACATATCTGAAAACATGCACAATATATCACATCCTTCTTAAAAAGTAACTTCAAAATTCTTTATGAGACTCTGTTTTGTCTCAATAAACCACAATGAATAGATATGCCACACAAATTCACATCTGAAAATTCCATAGCTATTGAGAACAACAGCCACATTGTGAAAATTTCTGCTCTCCTTGTGATTGTAGTGAAGGCTAGGAAATCTTTGAGATTTCTTGTTCAATTTTATTTCGACATCTCCGTTTCAAACTCACCACCTCACTCAAACTCATTCCAGAAAGGCTTTCCTAATAGCTTGGCTGAAAGTTCTGTTAATGCTTCTGTTGCCTAAAATATTCAAGGTTTCAACTTTTGTATTCTTTTCTATTCATTTATTTGGAAACCAGAAAAAGCAAATGCAATAAAATAAACAACAGAATTACCATTTTAGGAGCTTCATAAATGCATGTTCAAATAGCAGAATCAATGAGAAGACAACCCAATAAGTATTCAACTTCCGAAAATCTGAAACCGAATTGGCCTCAATCGCCCTAATGGAAAAAAAAAAAAAAAAAAATTAAACAACATCGAAACGAAACCATCAATCATCAATAAAATAAAATAAAATAATTATAAAAAATCATCATCATCATAAATTGTAGTATCGAAAAATTACTCTCGTTTGGTAAAGGAAAAAAAAACACCCAGATTCAAAATTATGCACAAGAGCAAAGTAAAAGATGCTAAAGTGGACTCTACAAGGATGAAAACAGAGTTTCTTCAAAACAAAATAAAAATGTGTGGGGGACGAGAGGCTTACATAGGATACACCAGAGAAAGTAGAAGCCTGCAAAACAAAAACAAAAAATCACAAACAACATGAAATGATGACAAATTATATTGTATTCTGAGAAACATTTCCTCAACTCAATTGTGCCAAGATTTTCATTCTCTTAGAGAGAAGCATACCATGCAAGAACATCAAAGCATTGAAGGGAAAATTGAACGAGACCCACAAAGCCCATCTTGAGCTTGAGCTTCTTTGTATGGTTTCCTTGTCGTCGTCCTCAGCTTTGAAATTGGAATTTGAAAGACTTGGATAAGACTTTGTGAAGAAGCAATACTTGTCCGTACAGTGGGGTCAAGTTTACGATCAAACCTTAAAGGTGAAGTTTCATTACAACTGGAAAGATATTCGCAAATTGAGTCCAAAAAAAAAATAATCGAAACAAACAGTGTTTACTAAAAAAGCATAAGTGAACATAGGCTTGCTTAAAAACAAACTTTAGAAATGGAAGAATCTACCGAGCAACATCATCAATGTAGTCTCAACAAGAACTTCTCGAAAGGGATAGGTGCCTCCCAATGTCCATTATTTTTTTGTTTCAAAAAAGTTTAAGGGAGGGAGTGGCTACCACAGTGTCCATTTCAAAGTGTTTGTCACTTGATATGTACGACTATTGTGCCTGTTGCAGTCACTCAACTCTCAAGGTTATTTTTCTCGCATAGTGTCGATGTCATATGTTTGTCTCAAAGATTAAGTTATTCATTTGTTAAATCAGTTATAGTTTCTTTGATAGTATATGCTACTCGAATAACTGTAGTGATTCTAGTGCTAATGTCATATGTTTGAAATTCTTGTATTTAATTTTATTTGAACAAGTGAGTAAATTTCTTGGTTTAAGCTTTAACTTCTTGAGGCTGGTTTTGGCTAGGCACTGAATAAAGAACACATAGGGGGAGCCAAATGAAGAGATGCATGAGGGAAACAAAGAGAGAAAAAGGAAATGACAGACAAAAAGAATGAAAGCAAACTACACGTGCCACACTACCATATTGAGGCAAGGTTTGTTCAAATGAACTTTGTAGTTTTTCTCTTTATTTAATTGATGAATGTTTGATCATCTATTTTTTGGGTTCAATCATCATGTTTTTCCGGTAGTGTAGTAGAAACTTTCATGTTTTTAGAAGAGGAGAAAATTACTAGAGTAATAAAATTTCAACGAAGACTATTTTTTGATAATTTGTCGCTAACGGTACATGTTATACTCAAAATACTTTTAAAGGAAATTAAAAAGGGGTTTAAATAATTCGAAAAGCTACACTGGAAAATCATCTTTTACGGATCAAATTAAAAACAAAAAAGAAAGCAAAAGAATAAAATGGTATCCCTCGCAACAACAGTTCTAACAAATACCCCAATAGTACTAATGTGCCACTTTAAATCAACCCTAAGCACCCCCCAATAATCAGCATCTAAAAATGCTTACTACCAGTGCAACGTTGTTCGTGTCGATAAGCTCAAAGATGCAAACATCTCCTTTTTTCAACGAATTTTCCTTTAAAAATGCTCTCCAGCCAGCACTTAATTGATCGTTGTTACGTTGAAAAATCAGTTTCACAGGCCACGATCTATCTCGGACCCAAAGCCTCACGATTTGGTTCTCTATTGCAGTGAAATGCTTCCGAAAACTAGCTGGAATATTCTGCATAACATAGATAATATTAGTATTGAATAACCAAACGAAGTTGTATAATTATTTGTTGTCAATGCCCCTTACCATCCCAAGGTGTGTCCCCAAAGTGACTTTGAAGAATGGGTGGCTTGAGACGAACTCATTGGCAGCTTCAACATTAACCCTTTTAGATGAAGATGAAGATGATGGCCTTGATGAAGAATGAGGATTTGTTCTGCTTTTCTCTTGAGGCAGAGGAGATAGCAAAGGACCAGTTTTGTGCTTTGTTTTTGGGAAGGTTGGAAAATACTCCAAACTTTCAACAGACTTGACATCATCTTCTTCATCAGTTTCTTCAATCAGAGTTATAGTTATGGGATAATCCATCTCCGTGCCGCTTTCATCAAATATCAAAACGTTGAATTTTGAGTTCCCTTCATACCGGAAAAGTAAGGAGTTGCCTTTTTTGAGAGAGTAAAACTCAGAGAACTCTGGCCAACCCTTTCCAAACCAAACCTCACCATTACATCTTCTGAGTTTGATTTTCCATTCTGAACCACATGGGAGTTTAAGGTGTATTTGATCTGATAGATGCTCAGCACATTTGTCCAGAAATGTCTTTGGCACCCTCTACACAAAACAAAAGCTTGTCAAGTAGCTATTTCATGCGCTTTGCCTCTTTCAGTTCTGAGTTACAATGCTTGTCTTCTTTTTTTCGGTGACCATTCTTATATAACAACAATTGAAAAGAACTAAATTGCAGGATAGTAAATGCAGCATATGCTGTATTTCTCTGCCAATGTGAGCTTGGATATGTAAGATGCAATTAACAAATATGGATAACAATATTTCGTTACAAAGACCACAATTCAGTTCGATTTCCAGAGCTTTTTCGAGTTCCTATTTGAATGTAATAGTGATTTTTTTTTGTGACAGAGGTGCACAATTTAGATTTGCACCCTAGACCTTAGAAAAAAGTCAGTACCAAGATTTCAAAATTAGGCAAAACTAGAATTTGGCATGTCATCTAAATTAGTCTATTTGCACTCTCTACATTGGGAGTCTTGTTTCAAGTCTAATTGCACTCCCAGACCCTTTTTCAAAAACTTAATGAGGCACCAATTTAAAATGGAAAAAGAATATATATTATTCAAACAATGAGCAAAAATGAGTTCTGATTTTGGACAGAAGAAACATGAACACTTACTATCTGTCAAACTAAGCAAAAATAAGAGTTGTAATTTCTTGGTGGCCCATAAAATTACTATGATAGGCAGTGTATGTATAGGGGAAGGTGAGGAGAGTAGGAGAGAAGAAAGAGAAGAAAAAAAAACTATTTTTCTCATAATACTTTTTCTAAGATTGGATAAGAGTAAAACACCAGATCTAAGTAGTGACTAGTCAGCAACCAAGAACATCAATAGCATACAAGTATTCTGTAGTGCAGAGCATGTACGTATTTAGTTGAAGAGAGAGTTGGGCTTGCTTACAAGTGTTTTGTTTCCAGAAGTCTCGTCTGCGATCATGTTAAAAAAATGGGGAGTTGTAGCCCGAAACTTTGGACCTTGATGATCAACTTTCTGGTGAAGAAAAGCAGCCATTGTAGGTAGCACTTGAAAACTTTAAGATGTGTCTGCTTCAAGATAAAGCCAATGTAGGAGGCAGCTATGGCTTCACTTCGTTTTTATGCTGAGTTGTGCCATCTCAGCTAATTAAATTGAGTTCAGGGGCAGGAAGTTGTCAAGTTTATGAAGGCTCTGCCAACCACAAGCACTTGACATTAAAGCTGAAAAGCTTGGAGGGAGAGATTTAAACTGGGATGGGGAGTATTGAAGATTTTCCTATATAGATAGAGAGATTTAAATGTTTGTGTATTATCCAAACAGCTTTTTGGGGAGTCAGAATACAGCTGTAGCCTGTAGCCATATGAATATGAAGGCTACGTTCAGGATTTGTAGATTCAAGCCCACAAAACAATTGAAGAAATGCTTTTTTTTTAAGCAGAAAGCAGAAAGTTTTCACCAAAATGTGCTAAGCTAGCTAGAGCACCTAATATATGCCAGCATGCTTTTGCCTTTTTGAGAAATTTTCACCAAGATGTGCTTTTTAGCTAGCAAGGCCTGACCATCCAATAATATGTCAGCATGCAAAAGCCAAACCAGACTCTGCTTAAATGCTCTCTGCCTCTTTCAGTTTTGAGTTACCCTTCTTTTTCTGTCTTCTTCTTTAGGGTTACCATTCTTATATAACAGACTTTGCAACTCTGAAAGCTGGAAGAGACAAATTTTGCTTTGATTTCTATGTGCATACCAAGATTTACAAGAGTTTAAGATTGTTTCTATCCCAAAGCTTTCACATGCTGTGGCTAGATTGTTATTTATTTTATTTTATTTTATGATTTGGCTAAGGAATTAAACACATTGAACACCAAGGAAATTGATAAAGCAAGAATGCAAAAACTTTTTATTAAAGTGAACAGTTTTTTCATCACCATCCAAAAAGTTCATGTAGTAGTGTGTTTTTGTGCTTTTCCAAAATAATTTCTGATTGAAAAGCTTGATGTGACCATTATATTGTGGACATGCAGTGATGCAATTAGTGCTTGTTGTGTTTCCATGGAAATTGTACAATTTTTTTTTTCTTCTTCAACAATCTTTAAAAGTTTCGATTTTAGTTAACATCATCAACAATCTACATCTTCGTTTATTAATTAATTTATTTTTTGTAACGTAATGTAATAATGAGAGAAACCTCAAAACTTATTGAATAATAATAGGAATAACAATGCTAATCACAAAACTAAAGTTACGTTTTAGTATTATCTCAAATTGCCACGTTATTTTTGACTCATCTAAGTGTTTTCTTTGAAACAACAATGAGTTATACCTAAAGTAATCTTCAGGGTTGTTGCTTTCGTTGAACCTAAAGTAATCTTCTCTAATGAATACATGCCATAAGACTACAATGCATCACAGAAAAACCAATAATGCATATGATATGCAAAGGACTTTGAGCCAACAAGTTAATCAGAACACCCAACACCTAATTTTAAGATTATAGCATGTTCACATATTAGACTGCATGGTTATTTTATCTTTAAAAAAATAAAGAAAGAAACTTAAGTCTTTAGTGTGCTACTAAAAAGTTAGAATTTCCCAAAATCGTTTGGGCTAAGGGAGGTTCTAGGCCCAAGAAATATATTTGGAATCACCATCAATTTTAGTCTGAGTTTCACAGACCTTGGTGGAGCCCAACTTAAGCCTCCGTCCCCGTATAGGGTTTATGCCTGCAACCTCTCGCGCCATACCAGTCACTCTCTTCTAAGCTTCGGAAGCCATGGATGCACCAAGCTTATGTTAACCTAATCACGACCACAATGCCCAGATAACATCCTCAATTCCCTGAAATCACACCCCTAGCCCCAACAAAATGAGATATTTACGGTTCGTTTCCCCACATTTTTCTAGTATTCACAAAACCCTAAACCCCCAAAGCCCTAATCTTCTATCCTTTCTCCAATCGAAGCCCCAGATTTGTTCGCATTTCGTGTGCAATTTCACCACTGATGCACCGGAGCAAAAGCCACCTCCGTCCGTGACGGTGTCGGCAATCGCGGATGAGATCTCGGGCCTGACTTTGCTTGAAGTCTCGGACCTCACGGAGGTTCTGAGGGAGAAATTGGGCATAAAGGAGATGCCGGTGATGGCGATGATGATGCCGGGGATGGGATTTGGCGGCTTGAAAGGGGCCGGCAAGGGTGGTCCGACGGCGGCTAAAGGCGAGGAAAAGGTGGAGAAGACGGCTTTTGATGTAAAGCTCGATTCTTTTGATGCTGCAGCGAAGATCAAAGTGATTAAGGAGGTGAGGACGTTTACGAGTTTGGGGCTGAAGGAGGCCAAGGACTTGGTCGAGAAGGCGCCTACCCTGTTGAAGAAGGGGGTTACCAAGGAGGAGGCGGATTCAATTGTCGCGAAGATGAAGGAAGTTGGTGCCAAAGTTTCTATGGAGTGAGGTAATTTGTGCAATTTTGCTCATACGTTTTGTGAATTTGAATTTGATTGTGTGGTGTGGGTTATAGTGTGTGTAACTTAGTGACAAAGCCTCACGATTTGGTTCATTGTAGTGAAATGCTTCCGAAAACTAACTGGAAGATGCTGCATAACGTGAATCATAAGTCCTGCATGGAGTAATTATAAATTCATTTTCGAACCAAATGAAGTTGTATAATTATTTGTTGTCAATGACCCTTACTGTCCTAAGGGATGACCCCAAAGTGACTTTGTAGGATGGGTGGCTTGAGACGAACTAACATTACATCTTCATACCAGAAAACTAAACAGTTGCCTTTTTCAAGAGAGTAAAACTCAGAGAACTCTAGCCAACCCTTTTCAAACTAAACCTTACCATTACATCTTCTGAGTTTGTTTTTCCATTCTGAACCACTTGGGAGCTTTAGGTGTAATTGATCAGATAGATGCTCTGTATATTTGTCCAGAAATGTCTTTGGCACCCTCCGCACAAAACAAAAGCTTGTCAAGCAGCTATTTCTTGCGCTTTGCCTCTTTCAGTTTTGAGTTACAATGCTTTTTCAGTCTTCTTTTTTGGGTAACCACTCTTATAACACTAATAGAAATTGTATATATTTTATCTTAATATCAGCATTGCAGGATAGTAAATGCAGTGTATGCTTTATTTCTCTGCCAATGTGAGCTTGGAGATGTAAGATGCATTTAACAAATTTTGATATCAATATTTCATATAGAGTAGAATTCAGTCCAATTTCCAGGGATTTTTTGAGTTCCTATTTGAATGTCATAGTGAAATGATTTTGTGATAGGGGGACACAATTTGGATTTTCACCCTTCAACCTTAGAAAACTCACGTCCAGTTATCTGTTGGACCTGTAAATTATCATCAAAATTTATTATGCAAAACCAGAATTTGGTATGTCTTATCTAAATTTATTCTGCTTTTCTTGATGCAGAGGAGATGGCAAAGGATCATATCTGAGCTTTGTTTTATTCTGCATTTAGTTGTGTCATCTCAGCCAAAGTGAAGTACGCCGGGAGTTATGAAGGCTCTGCCTTCTACAAGCACTTAACATGAAAGAGGAAAAGCTTGTAGGGTTGTAGAAAACTGGGACGACTCATTGTGGAGATAGAAGGACAAAGCTGTGCCAAGTGACTTCAAGAGAATGATTTTGTTTGAATTTTGACCACAACAAATGGTTTTGGTATATTGCATTATGACCAGATTGAGGCTAGTACTAACTAAACCATTGCCAAGCAAGGCATAAATTTTTCAGAAAAGCAGAGGCATGATGCAGAAAAAATAACACCCACTCGGCCCTTTGGGAAGTCCAAATACAGCTGTACAACATTGGCCCAAAAAAAAGGGGGTAGAGAATAAAAGGAACTTTTATTTATTTTTTACAACAAGGCCTAGAAGGCCTAACAAAACATCCAACACAAAGATGTAATAACAACATCTAAATATGTGAACTTTATTGCAATCAAAGGGTTTAGGGTTAAGTAAACATGTCCCAAAGTTTTATTCAAAATTTCCATATTTTTCTAACAATTTCCATTCTTTTTATCTAATTTTTACTGCTATTGATATTTTCTCTATATGTCTGTCGAAATTTCCACATTTTCGGTCTACCGATATTTCCAAAATGACCGATATTTAATACCTTGTTCAGCACTCACAACTTGGGGCCAAACGTTCACAACTAGTTAATTCGAATTTTCACTGCAAGACAACACAGTGGTAAAATCCAACTACCTCTAAATGCATGCGGGGTCATGTCTAAGTTTCCTACAAATGAGAAAACAATTAGAAAATACATGAGCACGAATGCAAGCAATCAACATTATCTACTTCTAAATGCATGCAGGGTCATCGCTAAGTTTCCTACAAATGAGAAAACAATTAGAAAATACATGAGCACGAATGCAAGCAATCAACATTCTGTCCACAACCCCTATATTATTCCAGTCGATAAACGATGCAAGTGCCTCCTTCCATTACGATGCGATACCATGTCAAACTCAGTACAGCAGCCTACATCACAAATCTTGCACCACAGAGGGGGACCATTCATCCTTAGACTACTATTTGCCTTGTGTTGTTCTAGCACATTTTCCTTATGCTTCCTTCCACTGAGATGAGATGCCAAGTCAATCTCACCAGGGAAGTGCACATTACAAGTTTTGCACCACACACGATGATCCTTCATCCTTGGAGCTTCATTTGGGTTCTGTTGCTGGCCTTGCACCTTTCCCTTGAGAGTTATTATAAGTTTCCTTTTCACTTCATTGCTGGATATACCCTCTGATGGCTCCTCAGCTGCTTGCACCTTTCGATTGATAATCACCTTCGGTTTTGATCCACAGCCCGGTACAGTGTTTTCTGGCTCATCTGCATGCCCCTTTCGACCCATAATCCACTTGGGTTTTGATCCACTGCTCGGTAAACTGCTTTCTGGCTCATCTGCATGCACTTTCTTTTGATAATCCACTTGGGTCTTGATCCACTGCTCAGTATACTGTTTTCTGGCTCCTCTGCTTGTGCCTTTCGAATTATAATAACATTGGGTTTTAATCCACTGCTCTGTATACTGTTTTCTGGCTCCTCTGCTTGCACATTGCGATTGATAATAATCTTGGGTTTTGATCCACTGCTCGGTATACTTTGATCTGTCTCCCCTGCTTGCACCTTTCGATTGATAATAACCTTGGGTTTAACTCCACTGCTGGGTATACTGTTTTCTGGCTCCTCAGCTTGAATCTTTCGATTGATTATCCACTTCGGTTTTGATCCACTGCTCGGTATACTGTTTTCTGGCTCCCCTGCTTGCACCTCTCGATTGATGATAACCTTGGGTTTTGATACAATGCTCGGTATACTTTTTCCTGGCTCCTCATGCTTATCAGATTTCGCTAGGGCCATTTTGGGGACATATGCCTGCCTCTTTGCATTCAGTGCCTCATGTGCTGCCTTGTGGATTCTTATTAGGTTGGAATTCAAAGTTGTTTTACTTGGAATTGTTACCTCAAGAGCACGAATCCACTCTTTCGGGACATTTTGGGAAGACTCAATAAGCTCTCTGCCTGTTGCGATCTCAACAGGGTTTACACTAGCCTCCACCGCTGCAAGAGCACCGTTTCCAATCTGAGTGAGCCTAGGCTCAGCCTGGTTCCTTGCTTTCGGTGCCTCAATTGCATTCTTGAGGTTTTTACTGTCTAGGTCGGAATTAAAAGTCCACCCCTTCTGGACTCCATTCAAAGGTGGAGTCTTCAGAATATTTCTATCTGCTACAACCTCAATGGCTTTTTCTTTAATCTCCATAGCGGCAAATTTGATGTTTCCAGTCCCAGTCAGATTATGCTTTGCCTGGATAACCTACAGATGCAATGAAAACAAGGTTCAAAAAGAACAATTGTTGTTGTTTTGTTTACACACTCGTGTGAGACGAAGCATAAATTATGTTGCGAGAATAGAAATGAGCATATAAAAGATGTCAAAAATTAAAAAAATTTAAACCTATCAATTTTTCTATGACAAAATTGGATAACAGAATGGACACCGAGTATAAAATTAGATGGAAATATGAGAAGGCCACCTGCTCGCCACCAAACAGTTGAACAGAAAAGGCAATGGAACCCTCAGTGAAGATAGTTCTGTACATTTTTCGTAAATGAATTACAACTAGTACATTTGCACTTTTTATGAATGTCAAAATGCATCGACAATGCAAAATGTTTTGAGAAGTTTTTTAGTATATGCAAAACCTTTACTTGGTCAGCTTCTGTTTCTTTTGTTTTCACTATTACCTGCACTGCTTTGATATCTTTCGGTGTAACATTAGGCTCTCCAGATTTTGACTGTATGAATTAGGCTCTAAAAAATTGTCATGATGAGAACTTCATTCACTACACTTACCCTTTGAGATTATTGTACACTGTCATCTAAGTCAAACAAGAACTACTAACCGCTAAAATGTATAGAAAGTAGCAAGAAATTTGTATGAATAACATCAGGGATGAAACTATCAAACATCCAACTATTTCATACACATTCTCTATGATGAAACTATTTTCAATTCTTTTATATCAAAATTTGACCTTGCTCTCTCAAACTAAGCAAAAGGTGGAGCGAGATGGAACAAGAATTCATGAATGCACCACGTGCATACACACGTAGGCATATTCTAGAACATACATTTACTTCACAGTTCACAAAAAAAATTTGACTGACTTACCTTGCAAGCAACAATTCTTTCCAGAGCTTCAGGTCCATTCTCCTGCATATATCTCTCGAGCTCAGCAAGAAAGCTTTCTCTGATACACGACGACTCATTCCTCCGCTTGTTGAACCAGTTGATAACAATTTGGGGATCCATGGTGAGGCATGGACAGATAAAGTGTTTATAGACATAAACAGCACCATCAAAATGAGGTATCACCAACCAGTAGACAATCATTATCCTAATGTATTGCCACAGCAGGAGCCTGACATTTCAAGAATTGGCAAATGTGAAACATAAATAGACGAAACAGATACTGTAACCTAATAGCCTCCTCATGATCATAGCACATTGAAAAATTGTAACAAATTTCAGCCATCAAAAAGAACCTAACTGATATTTTAACTCGATGGGGTATTTAGTTGCATTAAAAAGAAAAAAAGTAGAAGTTTTTTTGTAGATGTTCCATGGAACTATGGACAATAAATGTGATGCAATATTTGGTGAAACAAATAGTCTGAAGCTGAAGGCACAAAATATGCCACAATCATTTTGAAAAAGAAAAAGAAAAACTTCAAAATTGTTTGTGAAACTCTCTGTTTCTTCTCAATAGTACGTATTTCATCGGTTTAAATGTACGTATTAAGAAATAAAAAGAGACATGGATGACCAAATTAATTGAGAAAATTATGGGGGAAAATAAACAACTTTAGATCCACATTCCAGAAAGGATTTCAAAAAAATTTGGCTGCAAGTTCAGTTGAGTTTCTGTTTCCTACAATATTCGCGGTTCAGAATTTTAATTTCTTCCATTTACTTAGAGACCAAAAAGAGCAATATGCAATTAAATAAAACAACAGCATTACCATTCAAGGAGCTTCAAGAAAGCATGTTCGAAGAGCAAAATCAATGAGAGGACAAGCCAATAAGTATTTAACATCTGAGTATCTGAAATGGAATTGTTCTCAATCGCCCTAACGGAACAACATCTGTCAAAAGAGAAAATAATCATCCTCATTGTATCAACATGAAAATAACAGTTTTTAAGTCTATGGAAAAAAATTAAAAAAATCCATTTCAAAATCAATAATTAAAGATCCCATTATTATTAACATCATCACTATTGTTTCTGGGGTAAAATACCCCAAGGCCGAGCTAGACCCAAACCCATAGTTGAGATGTGTTTCCGCTTGTATTGGAAGACCATAAAGGCCAAGAACGAATTTGGGCCTAAGAGGCCATTTTATCTCAGGCCGGACCTGAGATTGGTCGGCCGAAATGTGAGTCCAAGCTCAATCTCTACTTAGAAGTTGCAATCCCTAAGCACCATAACTCTCTTGAGGGTTTTGGAGGACGACCAGGTCGGGCAGGTCCTGCCCGACCTCAATCTCGTCGCAGGTCGACCTGATTGTTGACGACAGGTCGACTTGACTCTTAATAAATTGTAATTTCGAAACCACACCCATTTTCCTTGCATTTTTATTTGAAAAAAAATTATGCAGAACATCAAAGTAAAAGATACTAAAGTGGACTCTACACACTGATGAAAAGAGCGTGTATATATATATATATATATATATATTCTTTTTTTTCTTTTTTTTCTTTTTTTGAAAAAGAAAACCTAGAGGTTTGCAGAATATCTCTTCAGAAAGTTACATATGTATGTGGGAGACAGAAACTTACAGAGGATACACCCAAGCAAGGAGAGGCCTGCAAAAAAAATCACAAACAACATGAAAACCTTATTATGTTAACATTAATTGTGAGAAAATTGGCACAGCTCAACTCAACTCATTCTCGTATAAATAAAGATTTTTATATATTTATAATAAAAAGAACGAAAGAAAAAGAAAAAAAAGCATACCATGCAAGTAGAGTAAAGCATTGAAGCGCAAATTCAAGAAGCACAAAACCCATCTTGGGCTTCAGCGTTTCTGTTTGGTCTCTCTGTCCACCGGTGGGATTGGAATTTGAAAGACTTGACGAAGAGAGACTTTGTGTCCGTACAGTGGGGAACTTAAAAACCTTAAAACCCAAGTTTCACTCTAGGGACTGGAGGGGTCTTGCAGTCGCCTTCAGCAATTGTAATTTGTACGGTGCTTGCTAGTGACAAATAACCCTCCTGGTTTCATTTAATTACGAAATTGCCATGCTAGTGAAATGATATAAGCCCAAAGTACAATACTCACGAAATAACCCTCCTCTGCATTTAGGTTATGTGAACTGTCTAAGAAGCCGAGTCAAAAAAGGTAGACCAGTGGTTTTAGGTTCAAATTCCATGACACCCTTGCAGTGTGTGTATGAAAAACCCCATCTTCTTGTAGTTTAGACTATCACTTGTATTAAAAAAAGAGGTTAAGTGATTTGATTTGGTATAACTGAGTTTTTTGAGATACACAATATTGGGGATTGGGAATTTGAACACAAAATCTCAGGTACATAAGTAACTGCACTACATGAGCTTCAAACCCTTTGCAATTGAGTAGATCGTGTAATCTTAAATAACTTCTTTATTTATTTTCTTCATAAGGCTTACCTTGTTTACTAAACAGGTTAAAAGGTTCAGTCATCTCATGCGATTAGCATAACACAATTATTAGTGCATTACACAAATTGTGCCATGTTACTCGTTTTATAAACTGCTAACATGATTTGGTTAAACTCGTCATAGCTTAACATGACAAGAACACGACCCATTGATACAAATTCCAACCCCTACAAAACACAGAGAGAACCCAGCCATTTCGTTTTTTTTTGTGTCAGAAAAACGCTTCTCTAGGTCCAAGCAATGTCCTTCAAGTTTCCTACAAAGAGAAAGACAGAGCAGAAAGAAACACAAGCACACATCTCTCAAAATAGGATCTTGGTGAGTTATGTGAACTACCAACTCTATCTCTCCACAATCTGCATTCTAGTTGATAAACGCTCCCAGTGCTTCCTTCGACTAAGATGAGATGCCATGTCAAACTCAGTATAGCAGCTTACATCACAAACTTTGCACCATAGAGGGGGATCGTTCTTCCATTGCACTATATCTGCATTCTGCTGTTGTGCCTGCACTTTGTCCTTGTGCTTCTTCCCATTAAGATGAGATGCCAAGTGAATCTTACCAGAGCAGCCTATGCTACAAATTTTGCACCATAGAGGTGGCTCATTCTTCCTTGGATTCTGCGGTTCTTGCACATTTTCCTTGTGCTTCCTTCCATTGAGATGGGATGCCATGTTAATCTCAGAGCAGCGCACATGACAAATATTGCACCATAGAGCTGAATCATTATTCCTTGGAGCCTCATTTGCATTTTGTTGTTGTAGTTCTTGCACATTTTCCTTATGCTTCCTTCCATTGAGATGAGACATCAAGTCAATCTTACCACTGCAGCCCACAAGACAAATATTACACCACAGACGAGAGCCCTTCATCCTTAAAACTATATTTGGGTTCTGTTGCTGGCCTTGCACGTTTTCCTTAAAATTTATAATAATGTTCCTTTTGAGTCCATCGCCGGATACACCCTCCGCTGGCTTCTCTTTAGATTCATCAGAAGTTTTCGTAACTGAAGCTGGAATAGTATTTTCATGGCCTTGCACCATTTCATTAATAATAACCTTAGGTTTCCTCTCTTCCAATTCCGGATCCAAAGTTGCTTCACTTGGAGTCGTTGCCACACACAGAGCACGAGTCAATTCTTTTTGGACTTCTACTGAAGACTCAAGAACTTCTCTACCCGTTGCGACCTCCATAGTCTTTACTTTAGCCTCCATAGCCGCAAATTTACTGTTTTCAATCTGAGTAAGCGTGGGCTCTGCCTCGCTCTTTAATTTTAGTGCGTCATATGCAGCCTTATGTTTTTGACAGTATAGCTGGGAATTAACAGTTGTACCACTTGGTGTGGTTACCTGACTGATGGCACAAGTCCATTCATTCTGGGATTTCTTTGAAGGTGGAGTGATCAGAACTTCTCTATCAGCTGCGACCTCCATGGCTTTTTCTTTAGTCTCCCTAGAAGTATATTTGCTGTTTTCAGTCCCAGTGAGATTAGGCTCTGCCTGACTAACCTACAAATGCAATGAAAATGAGCTTCAAAAAGAAAATTGTTGCTCAATTGTTTCCACTCTTTACGGCTGAAGCATTAGTTCAACTAACATCATCATAGTATCCGATATTTAATATCTTTCTTCACCAAATTTTACCTACTTACCTTGCAAGCAATAGTTTCCAAAGCTTCAGGTACATTCTCCCTTACATATCTCTCCCCCTCAGCACGAAACAGCAACTCCTTCCTTCGCTCGTTGAACCAGTTGGTAACAATTTGGGAGTCCATGGTGAGGCATGGACAGACAACGTGTTTATAGACATAAAAGGCACCATCAAAATGAGGCATCACCAACCAGAAGACAATCATTATCCTAATGTATGGCCACAGTGGGAGCCTGACATGTCCAGAATTTGCAAATAGGAAACATAAATAGATGAAACCAATATTGTAATGAAATAGCCTCATTATAATAGCATATTGAAAAGCTGTAACGAATTTCAGCATTTTATCCAGAAGGACTTCAACTGATGTTTAACTAGGTAGATTTTAAATTTCTATAATTCTGAACACACAAGTGGAAGAAAAGTTTAAAAAGAGAAGGATACGAAATGAAGTTTCCTTACAGACATATTTTTCTGAAAAACATGAGTGATATGTGAGATTTGGTGAAACAAATACAATCTGAAGCTGAATGACAAATTACATGTATCTGATATTTTGAAATGAATTAGAAAAAAGCAATGAAAAGAAAATTTGAAATAATGCTAAACTTTTAGGCATGTCTTCATCCACATCTAAACAGAGCATGGTTTCTTCACATCGTCTGTGGAACTATTACAACTAAAAATAAGAAAATTGAACTGATTCTCTTTCCTACAATATCAATGGTTCAAATTTTGATTTCTTTTATGTACTTGGCAAACAAAAAGAGCAATTTATGGAATTAAATAAAACAGGAGAATTACCATTCTAGGAGCTTCAAGAAAGCATTTTGAAAGAGCAAAATCAATGAGAAGACAACCCAATAAGTATTCAACTTCTGATTATCAGAAATGGAATTCGTTTCAATCGCCTTAATGGAACAACATCTGTCAAAAAGGAAAACAATCATCAACGAATACACCATCATCATTGTATCAACATGAACAATACAGCCTTGAGCCTATGGAAAAACCCCATTTCAAAATCTTTAAATCAAAGGTCACATTATTATTATCCTCATCATATCATCTTGATCAAAATAACTATAAAGATACACATATAAAAAATAAAACTTTTTACAGAGTATCTCATCATCAGAAGAGCTAGATATGTATGTGTGGAAGAGAGGCTTACAGAGGATAGACCAAAGCAAGGAGAGGCCTACAAAGTAAATCACAAACAGCATGAAAACTTGTCGTATTCTGAGAAAATTTGCTCAACGTAATGCTCAGAGTCAGAAAGAGCATACCATGCAAGAACATCAAAGCATTGAAGAAGAGAAATTCCAAGAAGACCCACAAAACCCATCTTGAGTTTCTGCTTCTCTGTCCTCTGGGATTGGAATTTGAAAGTCTTGGAGAAAGAAAGACCCCTTGTGAACCAAATAAAGACTTGTGTCCGTACAGTGCCTTAATGAGTAAGATTCGCTGGGACTGGAGGAGAGTCGACTTTTCGCTTTCTCCCTTTTTTTTTCCTTTAATTGTGTGAGGAGGGGAATTCGACCTTGAATTGAGTTTTATTACAAAGAAACGGAAGAGCCAAAACCATTTAAAAAAGCTTTTGGGAGAACTAAAAACATTTATGATTGTGTTTTGAATAAAAATTTTAAGGGGCCGTTTGGTAACGTTTTCAAGGCCCTGTTTTCAGTTTCTAAAAAAAATGTGTTCGTATGTCATTTTTATTTTCACTAAAATTCGTTTTCTGAAAACAAAATCAAACTCATATACAAAAACTGAAAACATCAAATTTTCATTTTCATTTTTACCCATTGTTTGGTATTTTTTTTTTCTTTTCGGTTGGTCTGATTTTTTTTTCTTTTTTAATTTGTCTTTTTATTTATTTATTTATTTAAAATTCATTTTTTTCGCTCCACTTTATTATTTTATTTTGCTACACTAGTGTATATTAATTTTAAGATAAAATCACCATATATTATTCAATTTCATATTTATTTTAAACTAAAGATTATATAATTTTATAATCTAGGTTTTTCTAAAATTTGAATTTGTAATGTTTTAATTATACATTATTATTCTCAAATTATACATTTTTCATGGTTTGTAATAATTTTAGCCTTTAAAATATCATAATTTAAAATATATATATTGGGACAGAAATTAGCAAAAATTTACTTGAAACATTATTATTATTCTCAAATTATCCTACCTAACATGTTTTCACTATTTTTATTTTCTGAATATGTTTTCCAATTAATCTACCAGACGCATTTTTGAATCCTAAATATGCAAATTCGTTTTCTCGTTTTCATTCTTATAAACTATTCTTAGAAAACATTTTCCGAAAACGTTATTGAGCAAGCCATAATAGAGTGTATGCGTCATAAAATGCTTTCTAAAAAATTAGCGTTTTTTGAAAAAGTACTTGTCAGATTTCGAGGAACCACTTGATACTTGGATCTTTAACAAAAATTTCAAAGCACTAAAAATTAGCATAAGTGCTTATTATATAAACATTCCCAAATGGGCCAAAAAGATTTCATATTAAGGCTTGGTTAAGGAAAAAAATATCAGCCTTTCTGCCCTTTCTATCTATCACAATAGGGAACTTCCTATTGATTTTAAACCAAAGCTTCCTTTGTGAAGTAATTAAGAAAAACCGAAAACATCTTACCCAAAAAAAAATACTACTACACTTAAGGTATTATTGGAGTATTTTAATCCAGAATTTGACTATTGTCTTTTCCTCTCTATATTCAATTATCATAAGCCGAGTAGAAACCTAATCTTGGAAATAAAGTGAAAGAGAGATGTTAATTTTCACCTGCATGTGAACTACTTGCACCCAGAAACATGAATTTTCTTAATTAAAAGAAAAAACATATTATAATTTTCTACTGGAGTTATGAAATAGTTTACTTTAAAGAAGACACATGAATAAAACTATATATTTTCTTGAAATACTTACCAGGGTTTTCATTCAAAAAAGAAGAATAAAATAAAATAATTTAACTCTTACAACCAACAGTGAGCTTCGGTTGAGGGATTCCTCAAATAAGTTATTTGAGGGACAACCTTGTCACCATACAATGTATTTCATTAATCCAAACCGTCTATTTTATAGATATTCATTCGAAAATCATCTCTGCAAAAAATCAGTTAAATCTGATATCATTTAACTACTCAATTAAATTTTTGAAATTTTAGTACTTTCTTGAAGCATTGTGTTCATTAATTTTATATGACACAATTAGATGTCTAAACGGTTTCCGATTAATCAATGAAGACCTAAAATATAGATGGTTCGGATCATTGGAAAAAAATATTTGAAGGATCCCTCAATAAAAGAGGATGGTACAACCAATACGTGAAAAATATTACGTTTAACTTTCAATCAACCATCTCACAAATATAAGACTTTACAGATATTAGAACTTCCATACACGTGAATCAAGAAATAATCTTGAATATAAAAATAAAAAATAAAAAAGAACCAAAGAATGATTAATACGAATCAGAAGTCAATAATACTAATAATAATCAACGAAGGCAGTTGCATGCAATCTCTAATACTCCTTGAAATTCTCCAGCGACTTATGGAAGTCGTCGGCTGTACATCGAAGCACAAGAGGCCCTTCAATCTTTGGATCCAACACATCGGTTTGGGACTTCTCGATGAGTTTTTGGAAAGCTGGACGCGAGAGATACTTCAGAGGAACTTTGTATCTCTTTCCTTCGACGTACACGGGTATATGACCTTTCGGAACTACTCCATGCTTCTTAGAGTGTGATTTGCATAACTTGTTGATGAAAAACATGAGTTTTTCTTTGACGAGACTTGCAGGATTCATGGTAGGTATATGATCAATCAAAATATTTTGGGATTTGATAATGAAAGAAGGAAGGTCTTCTGCAGAGGCTTGTACTGCGTAAAAGAGACCAAATGAGAGTTTGGAAGAAATGAGAGTTTAGGGCAAGAATATATATATACTGAGTTTTGGAAACTTGGAGAGTTTGAGTGTAGCTTACGTTTTAAGCTAGGGTTATAGGTAGCTGCAGGCTACTCTCGCATGCTATATATCAATTAGTTAACCAAGTTAAGTTTTCGGCAGACCTTGTTAATCATTGGATTAAACCATATTCCATGGCTGAGATCGTATAGTGAATATTTTTGTAATAAAATCTTAATTGTCTGGAGTATACAAATGCTATTTTAATTTTTTTTTTTTTCGTCTTTCTTTCTTTTTTCCGTCCAACACCGACATTGAAAAAAAAAAAAAAAACTTATTTTGTCTTGCCGCTAGCAACAATATTTAGCTTTTGTGGCTTAAGTTCATTGACTAGGATCCAATAAAACAAATTTTATTAACAAGCTTGATATATATATAATTTGCGTTTGAATTACCTTTGGTGTTTTTATTTTATATTATTGAATTTATTTTCCAATAGATTAATCCAATTAGATTGATTAGGTTTTTTTATTTTATAAATTTGGCTTTTCTTTTCCAATAGATTAATCCGCACATGCCGATTGGCTTTTGTTTTTTTTTTTCTCTTCTTTTTTCAAAAACTTACATAGCTTGCTATTATTATTATTTTAATAATAATATGACCAGGAACTAAATCTTGGCTTATCTGGATTTGTATTAAGCTGGAATGGATATTAGCCATTTGATTGAAACAAAAGAGATGGATCGAACAGTAGTTTAAAATGAAACATATATGTGTATAAGAAACACATTTTTTAACACATATTTATGACGCATTTCTAACCATTAGATCTTTGCATTGAAAGCCATCTAAATTATCTGAGGATTGACAATGCATCTTACAAGCAAAAAAGAAAAAAAAAATCTCTACTTTTTGTTTTTATACAAGCGATAATCTACTTTAAACCAATCGAAGCTACAAGGAGGGGCATTCGAACTCAGATGCAGAGTGAGGAGCACATCCGCACTAGTCAATTCGACTAATAAGACCATGTCTGCTCTTATCTTCACTTTGATATAACACTTTGTAATGCCTTTGTAAATATGGGCTTATCTAAGTTGACTAAAGTGTACTCTCCCAACTCTACTGAGTTTGAATCCCCTACTCCGCAGTTTAGATTAGAATATCGTTTGTATATAATAATAATAAAAAACACTCATAATGTTTAATACACTTATTATTTGCAATATTTTAAGGGCAGTCAGGAACCAAGTTGTCTGAGAATTGTAGATATGGTGTTGATTAAAACATCAATGTTCAAACAATTAGATGTTATCATTATAGTTTGCTTCTAAATATAATTTTATATGTCAGGTGATTGAGTCACAAATACTAATTAAGTGGGAATGGAACCTACACAACAAGAATAGGAGAACAACAAACTAACTTCACTGAACACATAGCCATGTAACTATGTTGCGCATTCATGAGCTTTGAGGAATTCTTAAATAAGTTTATTTAAGGAACATCCTTATAGGTAGGGCTCACTCCGCATTGTATTTCACTAATCCAAACCATCTATTTTGTAGATATTCATTCAAAGATTATCTCTACAAAAAATCACTCGAATGACTATTAAATTAAATTATTGAAATTTAAGTACTTTCTTGAAGCACCGTATTCATTGATTTTAGGGAGTTTCACTAAAACACCCAAAATGGAGGCTGAAATTATAAAAAAACCCAACACCCAAAACACTTTATAAACACACCCAAAACCCATCATTACACACACTCAAAACCCATTTATAAACATACTCAAAAATATACAATTATTGACTTTGGGGTTAATTTTGGGTGTGTTTCTATGTTTAAATAGTGCTTGGGTTTTTTTTATAAATACATGTCTAGGATTGGGTTTATTTATAAATTTGTATTGATTTTATTGATCTCAATTTGATGCCTTAATGATTTTCAATTTGTCTGATTTTTTGTAAGGATGATTTATGAATGAAGACTTGAAAAATAGATGGCTTGGATCGTTGAATAGTTCTCTTCCATTGAGGGGATCATTCAAATAATTTTATTTGAGGGACACCCCTTAGGGTTCCCTACGAATTTTTTTTCAACAATCCAAACCATCTATTTTTTAGGTCTACATTCATAGATCATCCTTACAAAAAATTAGACAAAGTCGGAAACTGTTTCGACATCCAATTGTATCCTACAATATTAATGAACATGATGCTTCAAAAAAGTACTAAAATTTCAATAATTCAATTGAGTGGGCAAATAATATTGGATTCAAATGATTTTTTGTAGAGATAATCTTTAAATGATTATCTAAAATTAACATAGATAGTTTGAATTAGTGAAATACAATATGGAGTGGGCCCTATAAAGGTATCCATCAAATAAGCTTATTTGAAGGATCTCTCAATGGAAGTTCTCTATATAAGCTTATTATTAGAGGGATCTCTCAATGGAAGCTCTCTGTATATATATAAATATAATATCGTAATATTTAGAATAACCAATCAGATTTTGCGATTTGGTGAAAAAAGTTTTGCTTTTATGTTTTTTGTCCATTGGTGGACGCATTGAATATCTTTGATGTTGAGATGTTGAGAGTGTTATCTCACGTTTGCATTAGTGCTTAAAAGATGTAGAACCATCACTTTTTGCCCTTGGGCCCATCAGCACGGCAAATCATCTTTGCGTTCTCTCCTTTGCATTTCTTGTCATTTTCTGGGTGTGGGTGGGTTGTGCGGGGGAGTTGTGAACGAGTTGCTCGGCTGCTTGCATCCTCTTCCTTCTACCACTGCCATTTCTGTATATTATCACAAAACAATATTAATTAATTTCTGAATTTCTTATATTCTTCTTAATTATACAGCTTTGTAAGACTAACCCAACACAAACAAAAGAAGGTACATTTGGGATGTCACATCTAATAAAATTAGTGACATGATTAACTTTGGGGATCATACTCCGAAAAAATAAAAAGGGGGTGGGGGATCGTATGAGTTGTCTTGCAGTGCAAGAAATGATACAATCTCAACCATTTAATATGCTTTAATCCAGTGATCAATAAGGTGTGTCAAAATGTCTGTAAAAGTGTACAGAGTTTCCAAACCTAATATATGTTTCATTTTAAACCGTTCAATCCAGTTCGGTTGATTCAATCAAATGGCTAATAACCATTTTTGGCGTTAATACAAATCCAAAACCCTAGCTTAAAACGTAAGCTACACTCAAATTCTACAAGTTTCCAATACCAATCCCATTCCATGTGGGCTAATATTTGGAAACCGCCACCATTCAGTATATATTCTTGCCTCTCACTCGTTCTCTTTTTACACTACCAGTACCAGCCTCTGTAGAAAAACCCTTGTTTTCTTTGATCTCTCAAGAGCCACCAGATTGATTATCAAATCCCGTAATATTGATTGATCATCACCGAATCTAAGAGAAGTAAATACCTACCACCATGAATCCTGCAAGTCTCGTCAAAGAAAAAATCATGTTTTTCATCAAGAAGTTATGCAAATCACACTCGAAGAAGCATGGAGTAGTTCCGAAAGGTTATATACCCGTGTACGTCGGAAAAGGAAAAGAACGAAAGAGATACTGTCTTCCTTTGAAGTATATCTCCCATCCAACCGTCCAAGAACTCATCGAGAAGTCCCAAGCCGATGTGTTCGATCCGAAGATTGAAGGGCCTTTTGTGCTTACATGTAATACTAACACCTTCGATCAGTTGCTGAAGATCTTCAAGGAATACTAGATATATATTGCATGCACTGCCTTGGTGGAAGATTTTCGGACTAGTTCTTGATTATTTGTTCATTCTTTGGCGTACAGTTAATTTTTGTATTCAAGATTAGTTCTTGATTCACTTGATTTAAAAAAAAAACCAAAATGAGTGAAGATGATGATTTGGCCACTCAGCCACGACAAGGGTGGGGAGGAAGGAAAGGGTTTGAGCAGAGAAAGCTTGAGGAAGAAAAATGAGTTTTCCCTTACTGGTTTTAGCCCGAATTTATTTATTTATTTATTTTTGCCACAGATAGAGTCCAGTTATTACAAAAGAGTCTCAATTACCCAATTAAATAAATAATCTAAGAGATATCGATTGAAGGATAAGGGAGAAGGAGAGTTTGGTCAACCATTTAAAATCAAAGAAATTACTTAACTAATAAAAAGGTTAAAAAGAAAGCAATTTATTAGATAAGGATAATATGGAATTAAAAAAGAACAAACTTTGTAAGTTTCTGAAAATGAACTTAGAAAAGAAGAGAAAAAAATGACAATTAGCATGCACGAAACGCGTGCCCTGATTTTAGTAATAATTGCGCGTGCCACGGATGCTAGTAACAATATGAATGCATACATATACGTAGATATCAATTATTTTATTTTATTTAAAAAAAAAACCTAATCAATCATATACTAATTGGAATTAAATTTGATTAATCTATTGGAAAATAAATTCAATAATAATAATTTTTTAAAAAATAAGCAAAGGTAATTCAAACCTAATAGCACGCCATATTGTAATGAGGGGGTATTTTATGATCCAAAAAATACATGATCCGACATATATATGTCAAGCTTGTTAAGAAAACTTGTTTTGTTGCATACATGGACTTAGCTAAGTTGGTTAGAGCGGATGTGCTCCCCATTTTGTATCCGAGTTCAAAACCCACTCTCCGTAGTTTAGATTAAATTAAATAGAATATCACTTGAATAAATAAATAAACTTGCTTTGTTAGATCCTAGTCAACGAACATAAACCACGAAAGCTAAATATTATTGCAGTCGAGACAAAATAAGTTTGAAAGGGAAAATAATTTTTTTTTATTTTATTTATTTCAATGTCTGGTGAGATTGGACAGAAAAAAAAACTTTAAAATTTGTAGCATTTGTATTCTCCAGACAATTTAATTACAAAAATATGTTAAAAATGTACAAACCAAACAGATATGTTTCATTTTAACCATTAGATCCATTTCGGTTGATTCAATCAAATGGCTAATAACCATTTTTGGGTTAACACAAATCCAGCTGGTCAGCCAAACACTTAACTTGCTTAATTAATTGACAGCATGCGACAGTAGCCTGAAGCTACCCCAAACCCTAGCTTAAAACGTAAGCTACACTCGAACTTTTCCAATACCAATCCCATTTGGAAACCGACACCACTCAGTATATATTCTTGCCCTTACTCTCATTTCTTCCAAATTATCAGTCGGTCTCTGTAGAAAACCTACCTTCTTTCATTATCAAATCCCATAATATTTCGATTGATCATACCTATACCATGAATCCTGCAAGTCTCGTAAAAGAAAAACTCATGTTTTTCGTCAAGAAGTTATGCAAATCACACTCTAAGAAGCATGGAGTAGCTCCGAAGGGTTATATACCCGTGTACGTCGAAGGAAAGAGATACAAAGTTCCTCTGAAGTATCTCTCGCGTCCAGCTTTCCAAAAACTCCTCGACAAGTCCCAAACCAATGTGTTGGATCCAAAGATTGAAGGGCCTCTTGTGCTTCGATGTACAGCCGACGACTTCCATAAGTCGCTGGAGAACTTCAAGGAGTATTAGAGATTGCATGCACTGCCTTCGTTGATTATTATTAGTATTATTGACTTTTGATTCGTATCCCACGATTAGCACACTTGTACTCTTGATTATTTGTTCATTCTTTGGTTCTTTAGGGCACGCTGGTCACAGGTTTATGGTTTCTTAGGAAATGTCTGTTCGTACCTGAAATCCAAAGTAGTTTTCTTAAATGAGTTTCTATTGTATTTGATTTTTGGAATATTTTTGACGATTTTATACTGCAAGTTTTGTGTAGCTTGTATTTGTTAGTGTATAAATTAGTGAACTGATTGGTAGTTTGCTTTGTGGGTTGGGCCTCAGCTCATAGGCTGAGTTATAAATATTTGAATTGTATCGGTTGGTTAAGTCTCATAGGGCTTGGCAATGCACAAGTGTCCTAATCTAAGGGTATGTAATGGATGGTTGAGATTGAGTTTAGAATTGTGTCTATCTCTCTCTCTTCTCCAACGATTGTACTGTGCGCGTGAGTGAGCTCATATGCTTAGATACAGAGTGCTCAATATACAACAGAAAATATAGAAGTAAAGATTCTCTGATCATTCCTACAGAAAATATAGAAGTAAAGATTCTCTGATCATTCCTGTGATTCTCTTCCATATTTGCTAGATTTGATTTCTCTAACATGGCCTCAAAGCCAGGTTCTGTCTGAATTTCTGGGCGTCGTGTTGGTTAGGGTGGGCTCAGATTCACAACAAAAGCTCATTGCAGTGATCCCAGTTCATATCAGCGATCAAATCTAACATGGCTGGAACTGGAGGAGGAGAACTCAGAGTGCCAATCTTCAATGGCGAGAATTTTGATTTCTAGCAAATCAAAATTAAGACCATTTTCCGTTCGCACGAGCTGTGTGATCTTGTGGAAAATGGGTACAAAACTCCGGTGAAGGAGGAGGAACTCACGAAGGCGGAGAGGAAGCTGATGCGTGAGCATGTGGTTAAGGATGCTAGAGCACTAGGCATCATCCAAGGTGCCGTTTCAAACCAGATTTTTCTGAGAATCGCAACCCAGGAAAATGTAAAGGCTGCGTGGGACATTCTGAAACATTCTGTCTTAGGCGTGATTTTGAATATACTCGAATGAATGATAATGAATCTCTTTCTGGATATATTGCTAAGGGAGAAGGTCCAAAAGAGAAGGTTAGAGAAGTGCCACATGTCATTAGGAAAAGAGAGAAGTTTCAAAAGAGAAGGTTAGAGAGAAGATTGCTAGCATTCCTCATTTTTTATTTTCGATTGAGAATTAAGATTTGTGGGACAATTTGATGCCTAGCTATCTGAAGGCCTACAGTGATTGAAATGCATTTGTAGCCATCCAGTGATGGACCTACAGAGGTGCAAAGAGGTGCACATGCACCTCCCCTCGTAGGAAAAAAGGCATGGAGGGGCTAAATTTGCCCCTCTGCACTAGCGCCCAAGGTTTTAAAGCGTTATGTAAGGGGTTTGGAAATCGCCTCAAGGAGCCAATCGTTTGGCAAGTTACACATACTAGCATGGTTCAAGGCGATGTGAGGTGTACAATGTGTTGCAGAGGTGCCTCTAATGGAAGCTGAGGCGATGGTTCACGAAGGAAGAAGATAACTCTATACCCTAATTTTCTTTTTCACAAACGACGTCATCCTTTTTGTTTAATGAAATGCAGGTTTCATTGAAGTTTTTTAAAGGGCTTGTCCAATATAGATCCCTACATTTTCTATTTTCTAGACATATACCCATCACTCTATAAATCTATGTGTAAAACCCAATTTCAAATTTAAATGACCAGTAGGATATAAGAGGTCGTAGTATTTCTATGTTTTTACATCGTTGCCACTAAACTTCATATTTTATTTATAATTTATTTCAAGCATTTCATTAACTGCCATAATTGTAATTAATATATTCCCTATTAATAGCATATCAATAACCCCATTTCTTTTAGTTGTCATTCCCTCTCACATCTCGCCCCCTAAAATTGCAATATATATATATATATATATATATATTACATATCCAATAATGTAAGTATGAAAAATATAATATAAATATATACATATAAAATATAGGTATATTATTTACCCAAAAAAAAAAGTCAGTTACTTTGTAATTGCGTATATTTTTCATAATTAAAAATAGGTACACAATAATTTATATAAATATAGGTACATTATTTACCCACAGGTAAATTATTTTACAATATACCTGTAAATGTGTATAGGTACATTATTTGGAGAGGAAAGATAGGTACATTATTAGAGGAAAAAAATAGGTAAGTTATTTGGAGAGAGAAAATAGATTCATTTAAAAAAATTACTTTTAATAAAACAAATAATAGGTACTTTATTCAGAAAAAAAGGCTATATTATTTATAGAAAAAAATAGGTACATTATTTAGATAAATAATAGATACTTTATTTGTAGTAGGTATATTATTCAAATGGTGGGTACATCGGATGACATATAATACCTAAATCCTAATTGTAAGTACATTAAAATTAATGTAGGTATATTGGATGTCGTATAATGTAGGTATATTGGAATAGATAATTATGTACACTTTTCATACTAGGTAAATTATATTTTTCATAAAACAAATAGGTACATTATTTTTTCAACATAATTAGTATGTACAGTTTTATTCATAAACAATTATAAAGTGGATTATTAGTCATGTATAATTCATAAAAAGAAAATAACATAAACATTTTATTAAACAAACCGATTACCCAAATTTGAATTTATTGTTAAATTTTTTTTAAAATGTTCCAAAATTAATTCCTACCTTTATTACAATCATTTGGAGATCTTTTCAAATTCAACATCTGTCATTATATACAATCCAATTAAAAACTGTTTCCATATCGATTCCTCCATTAATATACAAAATGCAATAATGGCTTAGTTGGGGGTATTTTTGGAATTTGAAAAGTACAATAAATCATATTTTATGCTTAATTAGGTAACTTACTGAGTTGGATCCTAGTCATGAGTTTTTACTTATACAAATTGGGTATTATTTATAGGAACAAAAAGTGAAGGGTTTTAGGTATGGCAAATTGAATTTGAAGGGTGTAAGCCAAATTTACTATTTTTTAAAAGTCAAACTCTACCGTTTTTGGTGAAATAAAATTCCTTTTCCTGTCCAACTCTGACAAAATTAATAAATAAACAATAAATGAATAAAAACCTTACCTACAGCCCAAATGTTGAGTCTTGACCAATCTGTTAAAACCAAACATTTATCATTTGCGCGACGAAGAGCATTTCGTCATGGAAAGTTATTTTTAGTCGCACATATTTCAGCACGATAGAAAATCCATCGCACAAAGATCTTGAAGAAATACTTTGCGCGACCAAGTTTTTTCATTGGTCGCGCAAAATTGAGCGATGATTAACCTTCGTTGCGCAAAAGGTTTAGGGATGACACAATTGTTCGTCTCACAAACCTTTGCGCGACGAAAGCATGTTCATTGCGAGTACACAGGGCGACGGATTATATTCGTAGCTCAAAGATCGTGAAGAAAGACTTTGCGCGACCAAGCTTTTTCATTGGTCGCGCAAAATTGAGAGATGATTAACCTTCGTTGCGCAAAAGGTTTAGGGATGACACAATTGTTCGTCTCACAAACCTTTGCGCGACGAAAGCATGTTCATTGCGAGTACACGGCGCGACGGATTATATTCGTAGCTCAAAGATCGTGAAGAAAGACTTTGCGCGACCAAGGTTTTTCATTGGTCGCACAAAATTGAGAGATGATTAACCTTCGTTGCGCAAAAGGTTTAGGGATGACAAAATTGTGATAAACACAACAATGGCGGCTCTCACACAGACAGTGGGTGTGGACCCTCCCGGAGAGATTGTGGACCTCAGCAGCACGGGATCCTGTTTGTACATTATCTTTGTTTTTAAGTTTATGTGGGTTTTAATTTTTAAGGGCATTTGTGTCTATTTAGGTGCGTTTTTGGCTATATTTGAAAGATTTTATAAAAACTGACATTTTTGAAAGTGGGGGGTAAATTTTGGCTATTTTTGATAAATTCTCCAGAGAAACTAGTTGACAAAATGCTTTGTTTTTAAAAAAATATTATGTTTTTTTAAATATTAGTTTTAAAAAAATAATATTATGGTTGTATTATTTATGGATATATTATTATTTTAATGACACATCAGCACAAAAGACTAGCAGTCACTTGCCCCATCATCAATTTAACAGAAGACTAGCGGTCAAATTAACAGAATGTGTAAATTGATTGGATCCTAAAACGTTGGGGTGTAAATTGATGAAATTGAAACCCCGGGGCCTAGATTAAGAATGACCCCAAACTTTGAGGGAGTCTTTTGATGTTAGCCCTTTTGTTTTTGATTGATTTTTTGGTTGTCCTCTGGTCTGTTCACCTTCTCTCATATTTATAGAAAATGTTGGCTTGAGATTTCTAATATTTTAATAATAGGTGGCAGATTTTCTAAAAACAAAATCTTTTTATTTTAAATGTCAAAGAAAATGAGATTTTTATCTATTCTGGCAGACAAACCATCAACAATCAGTTCTTTATGGTGATCACTTCTCTGCTCTTTTTGAAAGAAAATCTAATCCCTTTTTGACTTTTAACTCCTCTTTGTAAGAGTTCAATCTACCGTGATGGTTAGTTTTGATTTTCCAGATGAACAACTCCATGCACCCTACTTATCTCTTTTAGGAAAATGTAGTCTGCTTATCCCTTAGGAATGATGCCTGTCCTGATGCAGAATTATATAGAAAGGGATTTTGATCTTCTTTTTTACTGAAAAGACTGGAGACATCTCCCTATTTAAGACTTGCCTTCAATAATTCCCTATCAATCCTTTTGTGAATAGTTGAAATTGATGATTTTTCAAAGTCAGGTAGTCACGTGGGCCTCTTCGAGAATAGATTTTCCAAAAATCTGCTTGCTTGTTTTTTTTTAGGTCAATGGTGTAAAAAGGGTTGGGCTAGTCTCTTTTAGTGGATAAAAACCCATATGTTTTGT